GTTTACTTAATGACTACTAATTATAAAAGTTTAAATTGTTACCTTTTACTACTGGCTAAACAAACCTCAAATCCACATTTGGTTTAAATAACCATATTTGGTGGTAAATTGAGTTGATAATAGTTAATTGATAATCCAGGTTGTTAATTACAATAATTGAAAATTAGTAGTCCTTAATTACAGTTATCCAGTTGTCAATAAAACATTGATTCTTTATGGATGTTTTTTTTTACTAGATAATTAGTTATACTTTTTAATTGTATTTAATACACATTTATAATTAAAAAAGAATAAATGCACTATAGAAGGCTACCCCTCATGGTCTCTTACTCTTCTTCATGCCTCTCAGATAGACTGTTTTCCCTGCTATTTCCTTTAACCCAGTAAATATATTTGTACAGCTCACAAATGCCTGAAAATAAAAAAATGTAGAATAATATAAGGCCTATAACTGCCGTTTTGTCTGTTTCATGTGATTTGTGTGCATAAATTTGATGGTGTGTATGCAGAAAAATCTTTTTGACTTTGTAAATGTTTTTTTTTATTTTGCATTCATAATTTCATTATATTTGTTTTTGAACAGATATAAATAATGTGCATAATTGAAGTTATGCACAAATGTTTACAAATTGCAAAAGAATAAAAAAAATCCAGCACAACAGAAACAAATGTTTTTGCAACAGAATTCTCTCCATAGCTCAGTGTGTTGTTTTCTATTGGTGTATAGAAATCTAGGAGTTACCATTATGAAAATGACAAGAGTCAACAGGTACAGGTAGAGATATTTTATAGAAAGCGATGTCTTTCCTTCTCACTGCTGAAAGCCATGCAACCCAACATCTCTTTTTAATGTCCCCTTTAGTGGCTGTAACCTGTCAGACATTTATGTTGATTTACTTAAAGGTATAGTGGAGGATGTTCTTTTTCCAGGGAGATCATCGAAAATAAGTGGTCCTCCTAATTGTCAGTCAATCTGGTGATATGTTTATAAAAGGCCGTCCTACGTGCTCGTACCCATTTTCTCTTACTGCTGGTGAGTCTGAAATAGTGGAAAAATTGCAAATCTTTTGGAAAGTAAACTTGTATGAGTGATGCAAACAGCAACTTTTAAACAGAGCGTGCACGAGGAGAAATAGGCTTGTGCACGCTCTTGCACACATTTAATAGGCGTTACCTCTCGGGAGCGGTTACAGGGTTATGTATTTTTTTAATGTGGAGAGGACGGGTCTTTTCAAAAATTCACAAAAATCCTCCACTATACCTTTAATGATTAGTAATGCCAATTACAGTTATAAGTTAAAATTATTATCCTTTACTAATGTCTAAACAAACCTCAGTTCCATATAAAGTCTACAAAACCATATTTGCTGTTGAATTAATTATTAATCAATAACCCAGAATTTTAATAAAAATTATTAAAAGCTAGTAGTCCTTAATTACTGATGTGGAAACTTCAAATAAAAACCCAAGAAAATTAAACAATAAACCCTCTTTATTTTGATATAAAAACTTCAACATACCTTTCTGTTCTGGAATGTAACAAACATGCAATAAAACATATTCAGTATCACAGTGCTACATTATAATGCTTTTCAACCATGAATAACTATACACTCAAGCAGTGCTGTATTGTCATGTACAAATTAATAAATGCATGCATGTTCAGCTTAGTCATTCAACCCTGAAAAATAAAAAAAATAAAATAAAAAACACCCACAGTAAAAAAAAAAAAAAGGCTTCACTACACAATTGTGATGCTGTGGGATCAGGTTCTCATCCTGCTGATGTGCTACCTCTTCAGTCCTCTCTGGGCCTGTTTCAGCAGCGAATCAAAGTCCAGGTCTTCAAACCTGCTCCTGGGGGACGGCGGCTGTGCTTCTCTATTGGCGTCTGGAAGATAGGGTCATTTATGAACTCATTTTAAGATGACATCTAGAGATAATCAAAGAAACTGTTTTTATATACAACAGAAAATACTGTTTTTTTAAACTATGAGGCTGGTTTTTACTGCAAACATATAAACTGCTTCTGGCTAAAGCTCTTAAACAACCATCACAGTTCTGTAATTTTTCAAAAAAAGCTAAAAATGTGTAGCAGGACAGGTTGAATAAAAAGCTGTAATGTTACCCTAAAAATGTTTTTTTCTTCTGTTAAAGCTAAAGCGAGCGCTGAAATGTTTCTCACCCAGATCAGCGTAATCTGAATTACAAAACTGCCTGCGACCTCCAAAGCACAAGTCGAACGGCAGCTCGTTGGGCCTTCTCAGTTTCCCGCCATTATCGATGGCTGCAAATGCGTCCTCCGTGTTGTAAAACGTCACAAAGCTGTAGTGGTCGCTGTGGGCGGGAGGAGGCAGCGATTTATATGAATTGTTTATCAGCTGTAATGGACAGAAATAAAAGAGGAACTTTGAGATTGTACCCGCTGTCTCTGAAATGAAGCGACACACATTCCACCTCTCCAAACTGAGAGAAGCGCTCTCTCAGCTCGTCGTGTGTCATCGTTCTGCGTATCCGGCCGACGTAAACCACCCTGCGCTCGTCCTGGTGCGGACAAATAAATGAATGAGTTTATTTTGAGCCGGCTGAATAAAAGCATATAACATGAAGGGAAATGTACTCACTATGGCTTTAAGTTTCTGAATCCTCATCTCATTCTCTCTGCTGCGCCTCCTGGACGACACAGTGCCACAGCGTGATCTGAAGGGTTTGGTAACAAAGACGCAGCACCGTGTAAAAGCTTAAATCCACACACTGATTTAGACTAAACTTTAAAGCAGCCATACTTTCTGATTAATAGTAATCTGACTATTTCTAAGCCTTTCTTCCAATTAATTATTTATACTAATTTTAAGACTTGTTTCCACTAATAGTTCCTCTAGTATTTATAACATCATGGAGCCCTTCTATCTATCAGTTTGGGCGCCTCCACCTGTGGGAGTTTTGCTAGATCCGGGGACACAACTTAGCACCAACTTCAGAGCAAAGCCTAAGATGTGAAATCAGACCAAAACATTGTGAAAGTTAAATTGTTTTATAGTTTTTGTGGTTTGAAAGCCTCAAACCTACATTTCTATGTTAAGTTTAGAAAGATAAACCACACGGATCCTGACTTCCAACTACAGGAGGAAGAAATAAAAAGTGAAATCAGGACAACAAGCAGCCGTCTGTTCATTATTTATGCCAATTTCATTGCAGTTAAACTCTAAAGGTGAATGTAAACCAGCTTCAACTAAGAAAATGTTTTGAAAAATCCACAGATCTTAAATCGATAAAGTCTGGCTGCTCTGAGGACGACCTGAGGACTTCTAACAGCGCTGTACAGAAAACTCTCCAACTAGAACAACTCACATGGACATGTCTCTCCAACGCCTGGGATATATTTGCGGTGAAGATGAGCGGGATCTAGACCGAGACCAGGAACTGGATCTGGACCTTGAATAGGACATGCGATAACGCCGTGGAGAGGAGGCGCAGGGGGAGGGGGAAGATGAACAGGAGCTGCTTTCTGAACGTCTGCGACGGATCCTGTGAGATAAAACAGGAGAGTTTAAAGTCTGCAGCAACACCTGGAGTGAGGAGGAGGAGGCAAGATGAAGAGGACCTTGGTCTTTTTGGAGAGCAGGATGAGGAGCTGGAGTCTGAGCGAGGGGATCTTCTCCTGTACCTCCTCTTGCTTCTGCCTCTAGTAGGAGGAGAGGGTGGGGGTGTAGGGAGGCTGCAGAGGGCTGTCCCTTTGTCGTCTCTACTCCCTCCCTCCGTGACAGCGCTGGGTGAAAACTGCAGGACTTCATTTGTGTTTGTGTTGATCTGGGAACCCGTCCCGCCTTCAGCTAATGGATGCAGCAGCGCCGACGTCCGCTTATCAGAAACCTGATCTTTATGGACCCCATCTGCTCCTGAGTCTGGAGTCATCTGCTCCGGCTCTGTCCTGGTTTCAGGCGGCGGTTTGTCTTCCAGAGGATAATGACCAACAGAACCGCAGTAATCATGATCAGAGCAGAAATGTGAATACATCTGAGCTGAAGTCTGAGCTGCAGGCGGCTCTGTTAGGCTCATTCGAGCCTTCCTGGACGGCAGGGGACGTGGGTCAATAATCTGAATGTGTTTCACAGAAGGACTTTTACTTCTGGTGGTCTGGTTCTTCAAAGTGCTCTGAACCACTTCAGTGCGGAGCGGCTCGGGGACGTCTAACGTTCGGACATTCAGGATCTCATCAGTGATCCGAGGTTTAAGGGCTTCCACAGTGAGCTTTAGTGGGGATTTAGAGGGCTGCTCTGGCTCTGCTGGATTAGGTCGGTTCAGCTCCACACAGCAGTTTCCTTCTATGAATGAGGAGAGAACAGGTTGGTTAAAGCCCAGATCTAAAATCTGAATCCCTGAAGGATTTCTGCTTGTAAATACAGCTTGATACAAATGTAGGAATCAACATCTTTCCCAGATAGGCACCATAATCATTATGCATTGAATCAAACACATAGAAATCCAATAAAATATAATGAAGGTTGTAGCCTAAACTTTGCAAAACGCTGCACAATAAGTGGCTCAATGTAAAATTGAGGATAAGCACAATCGAAAAGATAAAACGCCTTGTGAGATATCATGTGTGACTCATTCATGTTCTGTATATCTATAATGGGACTGAAAGATGCATGGACTCTAATTACCACTAATTAGAGATAAATAAAGAGACCATTTGGAGAAAATAAGGTTGAACAATGAGAGCAGGCCTGTAGTTTTCCAGATATTGTGCAGCTGTGGGTATGGGAATTCATTTCCCCCATGAAAGAAAGAAAGTCTTCCTGTATTAAATGAACCCAGAACCCCAGAACCTTTATTCCGGCTGTCCACTCACCTTGTGTTTCCTCAAACTGTTCCAGCAGGCTGGTCAGATCAGCTGCTTCGATACCTGACAGGGAGAAACAATTCATTTCATTTTCATCATTACCTCAGACATGTTTAAGAGTTTATATGCATTGTATGTACTGTCAGTACAGTACTGTCTACATTTCCTTTTCACTGTTTACATTTCCTTTTCACTGTTTACATTTCCTTTTCACTGTTTACATTTCCTTTTAATATATTTATATATATTTTTTGTAACTGTTTACATTTCCTTTTAATATATTTATATATATTTTTTGTAACTGTTTACATTTCCTTTTCCTTTTAATATATTTATATATTTTTTTATATATTTTTTATTTTTATTTTTATTTCACGGTAGCTGTTATGGAAGTCCCAAATCTCATTGTATCTGTCACAGAATATAATGACAATAAAGGCTTTTTGACTTTGACTTTGATATTTTAACGGTTAGAAAAACGGGTAAACTGTTCCTCTTTATCATTAATCTGGAGGATAAAGAGCTGATGCTTATTAATTCATTAACTGATCCTGTGTCTCTGTTGAAGTAACGCCTCAGTCGGATGAAGTGAGCCTTACCTGATTCAGCAGCAGCTCTGCTCCCCCTGCAGCCAGACCCAGGAGATTCTGGTTCCTTAGACTCAACCTCTGGAAGCGTCTCCTTCATCTGTACGTGATTCTCTGTGAGGGGAGGGCTGAGGGGGGGATCTGGACTTGCTGACTGCTCTGCTGGTTCTGTTGGGTTCTGGCTGCTTTCCTGGTGAGATCCAGTGACAGTATGTGGAGGCTTAACTTCCTGATGCTGCTGGATGTCCATTTCCTGGAGGTTCTTGTTCAGAGGAGAGGCATTGGACGATGGTTCTGAAGAGCTCAAATAAGGTGCATTGGGGAATTCATTTTGTAGATGTTTGTTTCTGTGCAGGCAGGCAGAGCCTGGGGGGGTTGTGGGTGTCCGAGGAGCAGCCAGGGGAACGAGGACTGGGTTTGGAGGGTCGCTGCTGAGGTGCTTTGGCTTCTTTGCCCTCCAGCTGCCTAGTTTACTGATAGTGGGTTTGATGGTGTCCTCCGGCAGCGGAGGGGTCTGTGAGCTTCTGGGCTCAGGCTTTGTAACTTGTAGAGGGTTGTGTAGTCTAGCTTCTTTCACATTGGAAGCATGTTGGATCAAAGGGCCGTACTCAGCTGTGGTGTTGGGTCTGCAGAGGGGGAGGATGGGGGTCAGCCCTTCAGGCAGCTCAGACACAGTCGGCCACTTGGTGGTGTTATTCCTGTTTTTCTCAACCAACGGTTTCCTATTTAACCGAAGCTGCCTGTACTCCTGCAGGCTCAGGGATTTTGTTTTTGTCCCACTTTTCTTCTCTTGATCTTCGTGATCCACACTCTGGTTTCCTCTGGACGGCAGGGCTTCAGGCGGATCTTCAGGTGTTTTTGTGTTCAGGTTTTTCTCCTGAGGATCCTCCTCTGACTCATTAAATGAAGCTACGTAAACAGGACCAAAGCTCACCCTCTTCTTCTCTCTGGGGGATTTTTCCCTCAGCAGCACACTTTTTAGGGGTGGGGCTCCCTCTCTTCTTCCAAACCCCTCCTCCTTTGTCTCCTCATCATCAGACACAACGTTGATCTCCTCATCGCTCTCTTCAGAGGGCCGTTCATACCTCCACACCTCTTCCTGAGAGAACAGGAAGCTGTTCGTCCCTGCCTTCTCTACATTCAGCTTCAAGCAGTAGGGATGCATGAGTTTCACCAAACTGACGAGGGACGTTGAGGTGAAAACCTCCACCTCAGCCTTTGCTCTCTTGGTTTTGGCGCAGAACGATCTCTGGTTCTTTTTCTTTAACACCTGGGAGGGACCATTCCTCTCTACTTTCTGTTCTCCATCTGAACAGGCTTTTGCGGTTTCATCTGGTGGTTTTGGTCTCAGTCGGAGCCTGACAGGAGGTGAGGGCTCCTGAGGAGCAGAAAGACAGGAGTTAGGAGTCGCTTCTAAAACTGTCTGCATCAGGAACATGGACTGAGGGACAGCTGAGAGTTTCTGTTCTTTTCAACCAAAGACTGTTAAAGATTACAGGAGTTTTCCTAAAGACTGCAGGCCAGTCTTTATCACATATAAAGTCCAAAGGAAGAGCATGTTATAAACACCATAAAGTGACGGCTGCCATTCAGTCTGTCCGTGAAAAGGAGGGATGTTAAGTACAATATTTCAAGCTGATAGGGTAACGTGCCAGCTAGAACCCGCCTTCCATAACACGCTTTCAGACAATCGTAGCAGCGAATTGTGACGTTTCCTGATCTACAAAAGCACAAAGTGCTTCTCTTTGCTCCTTTTTAAGCGAGAAATTCTCGCTATTCTAACTAAAACCGAGTGAATGGTGGTATCGGCAGGCGAGTCCTCCAGTGTAGCCATGTTTGTAATGCCCCAGCATGGCCCCTCTGACTGTCATCATTACTACATGTCCCGCATCAAAAAAACACTGCTGGCATGTCATTGGTCCGACCCGCTGGTTGTTCAGAGACGGACGTATTAGAGGGAGTCTTTCAAGATGGATTTGTTGTGAGAATGAAAACTCAGATCTCGCAACAATCCATCTAGCAGCGCATGGTTAACTGAGTGCTTCTGTGATTTCCAAATTACATTCTGTTAAATTGCAATTATACTCCAAACTCAATTAATTGACCAGATCCAGTAGCTGCCATTACACTTACTATTCAGGGTTTATACAGGAATGAGGAACTCTAATTGAATGCTTTTTAATACTCTTAAAAAAATGTTTTAATGCCATCAAGAAGTACCCATGACTCTCATATATATGTGTGTAAACACTGCAAAATCCTCTGTCATCTTTACCATTGAAAAGCTGTAGCCGTGCTTCCAGCCACTTTTGTTGAAATTTGCATTTTCCCATTTTCTAGCCTTTTCTCCGTCTCGAGCTTCTTTTCCGAACATACGGCTTTGCGATCAACGGGAAGGAGGTTATATCGGATACATCTGACAAATTTGTTTTTATATATGTTTTGTTAATAAAGCATTTTAAATGCCACGATAATCACATTAAATGATTTTTAATGCCAATGAAGGTCTTAATTAAAAAAATTATAATTTAATGATTTTTAATTACCTGCAGAAACCCTGCTATTCTTCAATAATTATATAACCTTGAATAAACAATACTTCGCTCAGCCTCTTTGGAAGCGGGATGTCAACTGTTTCTTCTGTTTGTTCTTCAATTCCACTTGTTATAATTATACAGCACCTCCATCTGTGTTAAACATTGGGATTGTGCAAGGTGAACAAAGATCAGCACAGCAACCCAACGCACGGGTATATCTCAGCCTTCAAAACATTATTATTGTAAAATATTTTCACTTTCAAGGGGTTTACATCCTAAAATACAACTTTTAGAGGGGGGGTTTAAAGCCCCTTTCCAACAGAGCAGATGTAGATGTTTTTAAAACTACTAAAGTGAATAACCTCATTATTCCATGGCTTTTTTGTTGTGTGCTTATTTCGACTCGAGAAACATATGTTGGGTTTATTATTAAGAACCTTAAATGTTTATGACATTGATGCCTGCTGTGACCCCGTCCCCCACACACTGTAATGTAGCCCCCCCACCTGAAGGAGCGGCTCGTCTCTGTGCTCTGCACGGTGCAGCAGCTCTGTGTTTGGCAGGATGTCGAAGGGGGAGAAAATCTCATCATCATCATCCTCCTGTCCCACTCTGTCCAGCATCTCATTCAGGGCATGCAGCAGGCTCTCACTTCCTTCCTCTGGATCATGATGGCTCTGGAAGAGAACCAACACCCTTATTAGCCCCTGTAATCATGTCAGCATGATTGGAGCGCCCATTTATGACTCCGAAGGAGGACAACTGAACCTTCCCTAAACATGCTACTTTATGTAGATCGAAGAGAAAACTGACTTTGCAAACTTATGTGAGCTTGATTTTATATTTGAAGGCAGAAAATCCGCTAAATAAAACAATAATACGTAAAACTGAAAGTTTAAATCAAACTTCAAGCCAATAGCATTTTCTGCCTGTTGACTAGACATTTACTCTCATTAGTGCTCGCATGAGCTACATGTTCTTCTTTTCTCTGTCTGAGATACTTAAGCTCACATCTTATGAGTCCCATCAGATTCTACTTCAGAACTTTGCAGGGGAATCAAACACTTAAATCCTTAAACTCCTATTTATTAAATAATATTCTGATTTAAAATGGTTCCTTTTTTCTAACTTTTGGTGTTCAAAATGAGCAGTGGGCCAACTAAGTGACTATTTGGCTGAAAAAGCTTCAACTCTGACCTCTGATGCCACAATGGAGTCTTCAAAGAGGGCCAGTATGGAGCGGTCCACCTCTTCCCCATGACTTCTACTCAGGGCCAACTGCAGGTACACAAAGGGAGAAAAAAACAGTTACACAACCAGCAAACAGCACACTCATTTCATTAGGGTGTGACAACAGAAGCACAACTGGTCTAGAACCAGCAATAGGCCTGAACGGTAGGGAGTGACTCTGCTCAGGAAGTTTACAGTGAGTCAGAGAGGCAGCCCTGGTGAGCATCGCTTCGCAGTTAGGAAGATTTTTATCTTTATACCAGGAAGAAACAAGTTCACTAGTAAGCGTACTGCTTTAGGAGAGAAACAAATTATGCTTTAAATCATCCTGTTTTCCTGATTAAAGCTGGAACAACTGCATGCTAACTAAGCATGGGCATCCAATCAGTTGATTTCTGAAAAACAGTGAGCAGTTAAAAACATAAACTATCTGACTCTTTAGTAGCTGCAACTTTCAACAATGATTAAGTATTTCTGAATTAAATAAAATTTGGTTTATTAAAAAAATAATAAAAGACAAGTAGTCTTCAGAGCGGCTGGGCATTATGCACTTAATATCTTATCACAATATTCTGTGATATTATCATGATAAAAGTGGTGAACACTTGTCTGTCCCAGGTGCCTCTATGGCTGTGACTGCCTAGTGCGGCCATCACTCCCCACAATAACAAGTAATACTCTAAAATATATACATTCAAAATACATTTTTTTAGGACACCTGTTGCATAACAGGGAATCAAATACGTCTCTAGACTTCTGTGAAGAATGATCACGAAAAATCTCCTAACAACATTCAATCACATTCTTCACATTTTTTAGTTTCCCAATGTAAAAAAGAAAAAGCACAGAAATAGTAAAGATAAAAATTCTGATAATTCGCCCAGTTTCTGGAGCTTTTAAATTAGCGTTAATTCTATTTATCATGAAGATCATAGATTTAAAATCTTATGCCACATTCAGATGGCAAGCAGCAGAGGCAGCAGGAGCAGCTAGTTTACATGCAAAGTCAATTGTTGACGCGCACAAGGCGCAGCAAAAGTTCCTACAGCGTGTTTTGAGCAGCTGAAACTGTGCATTATGACCTTCTGACACGCAGGATGCGCCGTGAAAGCAGCAGCTGCTGGAGTTGGAAAAATTTTACTTTTGCTGCTCAACACGCCACATCAACCAATCAGAGAAGCTGATCTGGGAACAGGCAGGGAGAGAGACACATTGCTGAAGATGCAGATTGTTATGATCAATCAACTGAAACAGTTTATTAACGTCTAAATTCACTTAAAATGCCCAAAATCTTCCAGCAAAACATGTTCACTTTTCTTATTTGTTTTTTTTATGTACCTGTTATTTATTTTAATGTATCTATGTTCAATGTATTTTATGTAACTTTGCTGCCTCTTGGCCAGGACTCCCTTGAAAAAGAGGTTTTTAATCTCAATGGGATTATTTCCTGGTTAAATAAAGGTTACATAAAAAATTATTCTGGTGGTAGTTTGGATTACATGCATGAAAAACGCCTTGCAGCCGCTACGAACAGTAGCGGAAACACGTAAAGAGGCGACAGGGCCAGAGGCTGCTGTTGAACGGGATTCCCAGTGACAGCGCACCCTGGTGTACTGGGGTCTGACAGCCAAACATTTAAAGGCAGGATCGTAATCTTGATGAACTGACTGCACAGAGGAAGTTTTTGACTTTTTCGACTGTGCAGCTAGAGCAGCAAAGATGCTTCAGCCGTGCATCAGAACTAAACCTGAATAAGCATCAAAAATGAAGCATAATGGCAACCTATCAGAATAACGATAAACAATACGATAAATGTCATCCTCAAGTCTTCAGGTATATGTAACAATCCTGTTAAACCATAAAGGAATTAAAGAACTGCATGAACAAACAAAAAGTTACACATATTCTGTATACTCAAATTGCTGAATTATAAATTAGTGATGCTGGTATCAGTTAGATCCAAGTAATGAAGGCTTATATTTGATTAGATTTTAATTCATTGAAAAAAGCCCCACAAAGGAAAAAGGAGGAGGAGTTAAACTCTCATTTAAAAGTGGGCTTCAAAGGAGGAGCAGAGTTCAGTAGTACTGGGGTTAAATGAAGACAATGAGTAGATCAGGATTTTGTTTAAACTTTTTTCTTTAAAAGTTTATTATTTATAAGGAAAAAAATCAGCTGTGGAGTTTATCTACTACCTGAACCTTTGCACACCGGAAGCACGTTTATAAAAGATGATAATGAAAACCTCAGAGTTTAGCTTTGAATACCAAGAGGAGGAAACATGGCTATAGAACACTCTGTCCCTTTTTCATAGGAAATCGTTAAATACATATCAGAATGTTACGATATAAAATGAAATGTCAGTACAGTTGATAAAACTGTTAAAATGCTTCCTTGTTCGCAGACTCAGATCAATTCACCCCCTTTAAAACCTTCCTGTTCTCCCCCTCAGTAGTACTACAGCCACGTGTCGCCATGCCAGCATGTGGCCAGGCACACCGGCGGAACAACGCGCCCTACGACAGCGGCACTAAAACTCTCCGACGAGCCTAATTTCATGTTTGCTATCTCAGCTGAGGGAGCCGGTACCTCGTTGAGGGGGTTGCTGGATGGAAATTCGCCGTTGCCGACAGTTAAATCGCTTTCTTCCCCCTTCTTCCGCGCCGCCATGTTTGCTCCGCCACATGGGTCCGCTGGCAGGCCAGGCTGAGGCACGTGGTCAGCTGGCGGGAAGCGCGCAACTGAAGCTGATCTGGGATCAGATCTTAATCAGCCCCTTCATTGTGAAGAGCCAGGCTGCGGGTCTGAGGCTGACCCGGGACCAGCTGTCAGGTTCTTCCGCATCTGTTCTTCCGCACCGCATCTGTTAAAGCAGAAACACATTTTCTCACTTGGATTTTTTTAATGTGATAAAACTAGGTTAAAGAAATTAGATGGTTTTCAATCATTTAGAATTTGTTTAGGGGCAATTAAATGAACTCCAGTATGTGCTTTATAAGTAGAATCAGGAGAAATGCCATTATGTATAAGAATACAACAATTAATGGTTAATTACTGGATATTTTTAAAATGACATAATGAAGATCATCCAGTTAAGTAAGTATTAGAAAATTATTGGGAAAGAGGAAATGAACAATTTAATAGTTTTGGGTGGTTTGGAGGTGACAAACATTTAATGTGAATAATTTAGTCCAACAGTGTTGTGGCCTTGGAGATTTACATGGATACATTAAAATAGACAGATCACTATAAAATATTAAGGAAAGAAATATAACAGATATATGCCAATGATATCATAATAAAATCCAGATTAAATCTGATTATTTGCAAATTTGTACTGATTTTTCTGAAAACCCCAAAAATGAAGCAACTAGAATGGCAGTAGTGATTCCTGAATTAAAGATAAATATTTCAAAAAGAACATCTAATTATCTCAGTATATTTGCAGTAGAATTATTTGCTATATTATTAACTTTAGAATGGGTGGAGGATACTGATATAAATTAAATAATATTTTTTTCGTGATTCATTATCTGCATAATATATATATATATATATA